TTTATACTACAACATTATTGATATTATCCATAACCTACCTATCACACAGACACCAGAGCCAGGACACTATGAGATTCTAGCAGTTATTGAGTCATACTTGACGGTCATCGTGAATGAAGATATGTGTATATCGTTACAATGTGAGAGTGTTGAAAAAAAATAGAGAATGATGAGAAAGAATGAAGAGGGAGTGGTTTCGTTTCGTTATAGGGGCTGCTTCTGTTTTGTAGTTTTCTCTCTGGGCTTTTTACTTCTCTTTGACTAATGTGTATTTTCTTCTTCCAGGACGATTCGATGTCTGAGAAAAAGGATCCCACGCACTATTCCGAGCTAGATCCAAAATCAATGAATGTTAGTATTTAAATATGAAATCAAAATTTTTCTATCTCTTTTAAATTCAAATCCAATGTTTTAATCAATTGCAGGTAAACGAATTACGTCAAGAATTGGCAGCTCGTAATTTAAGCTCGAAAGGTTTAAAGTCACAATTGTTAGCTAGACTTTTGAAGGCTGTAAAGTCCGAGCAAGCCAAAGAAGAAGGTCGGCAAGACGAGGCGGATGAAAATGAAGAAGACATCTCGCCATCAAAAGAAGAAGAAGATAAAAAATTCAGAGATAGTAAAGATGTAAGCAATAAACACACTAATATATGCACTTAAGCAATTTTATTATAAACATATATAAATATTTAATATAAAATTATTTCTTAAGAATATTTCAGGTCTTTAATACCTATTTATTTGCGTTATTTTTAGCATGATGAAGATAAGAGAAAACTTTATGAACGCGAACGTACTGTACTCGAAAAAAGGTATACCTTACCCGATTCGTCGCACATTATTGTTCATCCCTCTAGAATGGCCAAGAGTGGAAAATTTGATTGCACAGTTATGTCTTTAAGTGTGTTATTAGATTACAGACCAGAAGATACCAAGGTAATTTATACTTTCAAAATTATTTTCACTCATTTCAAAAAAGACAATTTGTTATATAAATCTTTTGAATATGTAGGAACATTCTTTTGAAGTATCTCTTTTTGCGGAACTGTTCAACGAAATGTTAATGCGGGATTTTGGTTTTCGCATATATCGTTCGTTGTCCAGCCTTCCTGAAAAAACTAAGGAAAAGGACGAAGACAAGAAGAAAGATAAGAAAGATGATAAAAGAGATGACAAGAAAGACGATAAGAGGAAGGAAGATGAGAAGAAATCTAAGAAGGATGAAAAACGAGACGATAAGAAAAGAGAAGAAGCCAAGGATAAAAAGGATGACAAAGATGCAAAATGTAAGATGGACGACAAGGACAGAGAAAAGGAGAAAAATGATGACGAAGAAGAAGATGATGATGATGAATCAGATGTAAGAAAAAGGGACTTCGTTTTTTTTTTACATTTTATACCATATTTTATATAAAACATTTATTTCATTAACAAAAAATACACATTATTTTGTAAATGAATAGCAGCATTTATTACAATATATAATATATTGTAATTAAATACATTGTGTTAATATAAACATTATTATTTATACAGGACGATGATTCTGTAAAAGACGGTAGGAGGGACAGGGATAAAGATGGAAAAAAGAGGAAAACAAAATTATATACACATGATCCTTACCTTTTACTCTCTTTTGTATATTTCGATCAGACGCATTGCGGGTACATATTTGATAAGGATATTGAAGAACTTATTTATACTCTTGGATTAAATTTGTCGAGAGCTCAAGTACGGAAATTAGTACAAAAAGTTGTTACAAGAGATTCTCTGCATTATCGAAAATTAACAGACAAATCGAAGGAGGATGACTTAAAGGATGAGAAGAAAGAGGACAAAGAAAGTGACAAAGGTGAATCAGGTAAAGCAGAGAACGAGGAGGATGTATTGCGTTCGCTTGCTCTCGGTAATGCATTTTTTCTCATATTTTCTTAATATGAAACATCACATACAACATACAATTAAGTTTAATCATTGCTATATATTTATAGGAAATAAAAAATTATTACCTGTATTTGTGGGTAGTGGACCGCCTTCAAAAAGAGCGCGAAGAGAAGATTGTGTTGTAGAAAAAGCTAATGAAGAAACGATTCCGGAAGGTATCGTTATGTACAAAGGCTCTTTATTAGATGTAGAAAAACTTGTCAGTCAGTTAAAAAGATCTGAGAAAGCACGTTTAGATACCGAGGATCGTATGATGGAATTGCAGCACGAGCTAACTGTAGTCAATGAAAAATCGATAAAACAAACTAATAGTATTAAGGGTCTTTCTGAAGACTTGAAAATATACAAAGACAAATTACGGAGCTCAGATGAAAAGCTCAAAAAAACCTCTGTGAGTAAATTTGTTCAATTGTTTAATTTATAAAAAAGTATAAACATAAAAAATCATCTTATATTTTTTACAGACGGATTGCCATACTTACTTGACTGCGATAAAGAACATGTACCATGTAGCGACCAAAGCGTTGCAGAGCGAGAGAAAAGTAGAGGTAGTAGAAATTCAAGATGAAAAAGTTAGCGGAGAGATAAACGGCTCTGAGATGGAAAGTAAATTTAAAACTGATACCAGGTGGGGAGATAGCAAAATCCAAGTGAAAAAGGAACCCGTCGATTTAGATAAAGATAAAAAATCTGACAATAAAACTTCTGTCAAGAGAGAAATTGCCGATGCGGATAAGGAGAAGAAATAAATTACATTAGCTATTTGTCATAATAGATGATATGCACTATCATGATTTAAAAAAAAAGATTAATCTTATTTTATACGTGCGTGTGTGCATGCATGGATTCTACTAGTGATATAAAAAATAAAAATGAAATAGATGCAAATAACAAGTGGTTTATCCAACACCAAAACTCTTAAGTGATCGGAACTCGATTTTGTAACTTTTTTCACTCGAGTAATGATATATGGTGGCATCTTTTAATAATAATTAAAGAAAGCACTTGAATTATGCATAACAGTTCATAGGACTATCGTTAAAATATCTTACGTAATTTTTTGCATCATTCAGAATAAATGGATAAATTTTAAAAAGGGTTTATGAAGTACCATTGATCTGCCATTAAGTGCCAGATATTGATACACCGATATTTATCATTAAAGATTCAAAAGTATGTCAACACCACAGTTATTTAACTTAGATAAAAAGATTTTTACTGGAACACAAACATGAAAAAGATTATGTTTTTCTCATTGTTCCATCGCTTGTCCATCTTAACGCGAACATGAAATCACTTCTAAAACAAAACTTATCTGTAAGAGCATATTTAGAACCTTTTTGTGTATTTTAAACTTAAGTTATAATTAATATAATATTAAAATACATTTTTGTTATCATTCATTATTTTTTAAACAATATATGTTTCTTAATGAAGACAAATTGATAATTTTAGTTGCTTTAACATATGATACATTATTTAACGCAATAAACATTTAATGCAATAAATGTAATACTAACGATAAAGTTATATCAATATTTGATTTCAGGAATGTATTATTGCATTTTTATTGAATTTTGCGTAATTCTCTCTTATCTCGTGCGCTGCTAGTCGATGTTTATAATATAATTAGCACAGCACAAAATATTCGCAAAAAAATTCTTTTTGAATGCGTTTATCAGTAAAAAATTATCAGAATTGTCCAAAAGTAACAAAAAAAGTAATTTTCCAATAATTTCTAGACTAATAAAATGTTTGTGTTACTATATAGCAATAAAAATTTCTTTTCGTTTTATGTTACAAATGAGAAAATTTGTACAGCTTCAAAATAATTCGAGTCGATGAACGTTTCTTTTATAGCCTAAGCTAGTTTAAATACGATAAATTCATATATATACAATATTCTTTAAGTTACACATTATACGTCCAGCAGAGTGTCAACACATTTATCCAAAAATTATATACTACACAAAAACGTGTTCTCGAACGTAAGCGACCATGCATGATCGCACGTTCCACTCCCAATTTTGCGGTTTACAACTCACGATGCCAAGGATACTATTTTGTACATAGTTTACCATATAGAAATTTTTTGTAGTTTGTTAATAGAAGGTCACATTCTTGTCAAAAAAAATGGGAGTAAAAAGTAGCGCTATATGAGATGATGAAATAAAAGCATAAAATGCGCAAACAATTATTAATCTGTGTATGTTAACATTATACAAATCTTAAAAAGATAATTGTAATTATCTCCTTGGGCACATACTCATAGTAATCAAGAATACAACAGTAAAACAATAAAAATTATTTAAACAGTGACATGTGTAATTTATAATGCATATCGATTCATTCTCAAATACAAACTAATTTTATTTTACATTTATTCGGCCTATTCTTGAAATTTAACATAGAGTTGCGTATTTAAATTCAAATATTAATTTCCAATTGAATTCAATATTATATGATGAAATTCAAAATACAATAATTATAGAAAAAACTGAGTTTTCTAATTTGTCATATAGTTTTTTTTTTGTTATACATGAGGAAATGTATAAAATTATTACAATGTATTAAAATTTACGTACAGATTTTTTTTGGAATGCATACCATTTTATCGTATTTACTTTGTTTTATTGTAATTATTTTATGTAGAACATGAGTTTGAAGTTCTTGAGTTTTTCAAGAACATTTACTTTAATTTCCACCAATAAAGATTAACTTTAATCTTGGATTAACTTACTGTTTATCTTTTTCTAATTTTTAGAACTAGAAAAAGACGAAGAGCAAATTGAACCGAGATTAAAGTTAATCTGCATTGGTGGAAATAGGCATTAATGAGCTAAAAAAGTAGAATGAGAGTATGATAAAATTAAAAGAACAGTTATTCCCACTATCATCTATTTCTTAAATTTTATTTAAATTTAGATATATCTATGTATATATAGGTGATACTTAAGAATGAAACTTTAGAGATTGATACATACAAAAATTATTTTTATTTGCAGAAAATAGGTAAATTCATGTATTTACATGATTTTTTAAAAAGCATTAGACCCCGAGATAATAATTTTATTTATATCTTCAATCTCGTAAAACGATAGAAATTAACGTCATTTTGAACATTTCTCGCCCATCTTCTCAAGCAATTCCTTGTTATCGCAAATCATTTTTTCCAAACGTTCCTTTGTTGCCTGTGTCTGCCTCTGCTCCAGTTTACGTTTAGCAGACTCTATTGCTGTTCGATATCCTGTGACATTACGGAAAATTTTGATGTGCTTATCGCCCGCAGCCAACAGATATTCTCCCATAGCATCAAATGCCAAGCATGTTATAGGCCCTACAAAAGATTGAAAAGTTGGTCAAGTTTTTTTAAATTCACATCGCTAAAATCATCCTTACAGAAATTTAAAACAATGCTTTTAATACTCTGAATAAGTAATTAATCGCTACCTTACAGTATTAAATTGGATTTCTGTAAGAGCTACAATTGAATTATAATTTTACCAAGGAAAATATCTTCTATGGTAGTATCCAGAACACCAGTAATAGTAGAATAGAAAGATATAGACGATCCATGGGCGATCACGAGGACCTCCGCGTTTGGAGATAATACAAGGCTTGCTGATGCGGTGGTGTTCCAGGTGCCAGTCGTCAAAAGGTGCGGATCTTCTCCTTTCTCGAATTCGACTGGAAAAGAACAAAAGAGTAAGAATTTCGTATATTTCACGTTTAAATCCTACGTACTGCCAGTGATTTGTTACGTTACTTTTTGTATTGTAGAAACGATATGTCCCATCTTTGGACACGGTAGCCATGTGACTGGTGTCGGCACTGAAACCAAAGTCATGAACCCCGGATGAGTGCCCGGCGAGATCAAATGCTTTAGCCACTGTCTTGAACTCTCCGGATTTACTGAAGACCACCTCCCATACGTTCACGTCCGGTGTAAAACCTTACGAAAAATTTAAAATAAAGTAACTTCAATTCAAAATTTTAAAAAATGTGTAAAAAATGTAAATAGCATGCATGTTTAAAATCAGGGCACAAGACGTATTAAAACATCTTTATCTCATTTTACAGTAGCTGGAATTAATAACATTTAGTGGTAAAATGTTTTCTTACCCGAGGCAGCAACGAATCGGCCACAAGGTGATATACGCGCGCGATAAGTAGATCCTAAATGCATCTCCACCGTTGCCAGTGTCTGTCCTTTCAAGTCCCAAATAATAAGATCATTCATTTTGCTGCACGTGATGATGTATTTCCCGGTGCAAGCGATATCCATTCCAACGACATCCTCAGTATGATGCTACAGTAATAAAGAAAAATGATACATAAACAAATTCCACAAAGTAGCAAATTTCATTAGTATGATTTCACTTCGTGAATAAGAGATCTTAGAGATCAAGCTTAAATAAAATATATGCATAAATATAAATATGCAATTACATTTAAAGTCTATAAGCATCTATGATACTTTACGACACGATTGTTCTATAATGTATATACTAATTATTGTAAATACACAAAATAATTCACACGCGAATAACTGTGTTGGCTTTTATAGATTTTCTTTCTAATTTTGAATTATTATTACAGTCTTTTACTTCAATAATAATATTCTGTATTATTGTACTATTTTAAAAAGATCTCTCTAAAAAAAAGAAATATCTAAACAAATAACATCGAGACAAGATCGTAATACCTGTGAAAACTCCAGAGCTTTAGTCGCAGAGGCTAAGTAACCATCCGATTTTTTTGTGATCTTGTACACCTCGATGGCATTAGCCACGGCCTTGTGAATAATAAATGCCTTTCCATCCGGGGACCAGCGTATTAAAGTCGCGTGATCAAATTCGATGTTAACACGCAGAGATTTGCGATCTTTCAATGTAAAGTCTTTCGTGTACCACAACAACACGGTACGATCTGTAATAATGCAAAATATGGAAATAAGTAGGGTGGATTTGGGTCATATTCTTACGTTATTTTTCCTACTATTTTTCGATTTTTTAAATAATTTTATTCAAGGAAACAAAGCTTATAAACAAATTTGCTTTCACTTTTATTTCTTTATGAGAAATTATCTTTTTTCAGTTGTATTATCTATTTCAAAAAATAATGAATAATAAAAAATATACAATTGATCTTTTACAATTCTACTAATTAGAAATGTTAATTAAGTAATATGGGATAAATAATTATAAATCATGAATGTTATTACAAAATCTTTTTATTCAACAATTAATAGTCTTAATTCAAAATGTGATACAAATGTGCGTTGAAACAAATTGAAATAACCTGATGAAAAGACGATCCTGATCAAGGATGACATGTTTATCACAAAATTAATTAGGAATTATCATAAATATTCCAATGATCTTACATGCATTTCGTTTTCTTCTTTATTCTGTAGGCAAAAACCATACCATACACTCTTATCTTCACCCTTTTTCATTTAACATTCCTAAAAATCAAATTGATTTGAAATAATTAAAACGATACAATTTAAATCCCTATGAGCTTAAAAAACTCTCCGCATTCTAATTAAATAAATATAGATTATTTTAAGTCTTCATTCTTCGGACATTGCAGAGATATAAAAATCTTGATACATTTACAATTAATAATAACATGATATAATCCATCTAAGATATATTAGGTTTTTTGTTTGGTGGTGGCATAAGTTCTGAATCATCCCGTACAAATCTGTATTTATCGATATAATCTAAAAGCCGTTCCTTCGTAACAGGTTTGTTGATGCTTTTACATACAGACTCGGCAGTTTTAATGGAATTAGGAAACGACTTGTCTATTCGCTGACGCATGAAGATCCATTGACCATTTTCGAATTTACATTCGACAATCGCATTGTCTAAATCTCTCATATGCTTAGTAATCTTTATCGTGCCGTACGGCGTATTCAGTCCTCCCACAAAAAGATGACCAATCTTTCGCGGCAGAATTCCCATGCCTGATTCCGTGACTATCTTAAGTTTAAAATCTACTGAGTTTAATGATAATGGTTTCCATTTTAAGACCTCGGGGCACACTCCCGAGATGTATTTTTCCTTGGCAGGTTGAAATATCAAGCCATCTGGTTCATGAGAAAGCTGCTTAGCAAATTTCTCGCCCAACAGATTTTTGCTCTGTGTTACATCCCAGAAATATTTCAATCGCACGGAGAACGGTTCCCGTTCCTTTATTAATCGTCCCTCCTTCATAGCTCTTAGCCTACCAGCGATTATTTTATTTTCGATAACGGAATAACGATCAGGATGGAACGGCAATTTACTAACATCCTGTCCATCGTACATGATAACGTCGTAAACCAAATATCTAGGAATATTCTTGCCCCTATCTTTATCGATTACCATTTCCTGCAAAATTATAATTCCAATTAGATACAAGTTCCAATCATTCATTTTTACAGTTAAAATAGCTTTTAGTAGACAACTGTAACTTACACCATCCATCAGAGTATCTCTCAAATTTCGATTTTCTCGTAAATGAGGAAATGTCAGTCCAGTAACTTCAAAAACGCTGTTTTCTCTATCTACAAAAAATATCTCTCCGTCACCTTGTACTAACATCATGTATCTAAACAGAAAAAAAACAGTAGATGAATTACAAAGTTTTTAAATATTAATATGTTTTTATACAAAAGTGATATCCAAAGAGATACTCAATATGTACAAATTTCCAACTGACCTTGTGCCATCAGCTTTCCAAGATACTCTATATGGCTTTGTATGTAAGAGCATTATATTGTCACAATCCATAGATACAGGTTGAGATCCAGGGAATCCTGAATCCTCCCATCCACAGATGTCTTTGACTCGCCTCTGGATTCCAAATAGCTTCTTTTTTTCTAAGATAGGGGTAACACCAGGTACGCCAGCCATAAAAATTGGATTTTTATTAAAAATTTCACGTCTCTTCTTTTTGCCTTTCTCATCCCGACAATCTTCGTTCTCTGTGCTTGGGCCTTCTTCTGTGTCCAGAATATTGGAATCATCCAAACACCATGCTGGTCTCGCAGGTGGAGGTGGAGCATCTGTCTCATCGTCATACCGTTTATATAGTTCCTTTATATAATCAGCTTTGTAAATTCCAGGAGGTCTTGCAGTAGCAAACTCTGCTATTCCAGCATCGACGCTGGTATTGTCTACTTCCACTAAGTAACTGATTATAAGAAAGCCAGTCCTGTTAAAACCATGTGTGCAGTGTACACCAATAATCTCCAATGGATTATGAGCAATAAAACTACTACAGAGTTGCACAAAGGCTCGAGTCTGTTCCTCAGATGGGGTCTCGCCATGACCACGGCATTGCAACTTTACATAGCTACAATTATAATCCTCTATGGTATCTTTATCGTAAAACCTTGACGTGTTAGTCAAATCTATCCACAAGCCCATCTTCAGTTTCTGACTTTTCAGATTTTCAAAGAACATGTCCACAGTGAACCGACAACCCTCAGGCACCTGGTTATCATAGGCCGAAGACAGAGGAGTCTTAAAAGCTAGAAACTTGCCTTGGATCAGCCTCATCGCTTTGCGTGGGCAATCGAGCCAGCGAGGTGGAACTCCACGACCAACTTTGCTCTCGCTTGACATTTTCGGTCGATCAACTGTAAGGTTATAACCTAAATTCCAGCCGTCGGGCTGTGTAGCTCCGCGGCAAGACGATTGCTTGCTAATATGGACGACTCGAGAACTCTGTTCAAGTCCCGGCACCGATGGAGCGCCTGACATTTTTTCTCCGCCCAGCTCTTACAGCATCAGAAGTGGGATTCAACCAACTTCCCTCAAATCTGACTTTTCAAAAAGAAACTTCGATAATTATACAGAATAGGTCCCGCAGGTCAAAAATCAATGAAATTAAAGCTTATTCGACGCGTTTTTGCGTGAAATAAAAGAATCTGACAGAAATAAACGTCGTTCTGCCCCGCAAACCGAGGTAATTAGCGTTAAAGTTGACGACTATAGAGGTTAGCAAATCTGTCATACCGACTACATGTAGTGCTACGACGAAACGAATATGCTACATGCTCTCTGACCTCTATGCGCATGCGCTTGATTACTCCTGATTCCCATGCACGCGTTTCCATGCGTTACAGCGCGCGACTTGATGCGTTTCACCAATCGAATGCGTGCTTTACTTTGACGCGTAGTGGCGCGATAGCGCGTTGAAATTAAATTTTTTTAATTTTGACGCATTTATTACGTCAGATAAACGTGTCGCGTTATGGATTCAGTTAATTTAAGTCGAATTTCGATACGTTTGGTATTAACCAATAAGTTGTAAGCAAACAATGATAGTAACAATTTTTTCGAAAATAAATCAATATAAATGAATTAATTATAAACTCAGTTCGTCTTCGCAATTCTTTGTGGGATTGAAACAACAAATTTTATAAGGATAACATACATATATCTCACACACATACATTTTCATTCATCTTTCATATATTTTTCATACATACATCTTTTAAGTAGTATTTTTTAAATGATAAATTATATTTATTTTAACTCGCGCCCGATTAAAAAAAGCTTGATCGATACTCTGACCGTAGTTTGATATTCGATTGTAATCGATGAATTCTCGATTATTCTAGTCATTACGATTACGGCGCGCAAAATATAAATATCGAATTTAGAAAAGAAGAAACGACGGACAAGAATTTAAATGTGAGTCTTCCAAATTCTTAAATATTATATTTGTTTTGACAAGAGGTAGCGTGAATTCATTTAAATTTCTCGTCATCTAAAAAATTAGTGATCATTTTAAGATGTAACAATTTCAATTTCCATGAATAAGCAGTAGATCTGCACTCTCTGCAGAGCTAATTATATCAGAATTCTCTAACATCTTATTAAACATTATCGCTATCATTATTTTTATTAACAGCAGCTAATGAGAACCGCGGTGCTCACTTTTTTCAGGATTATCTTTGATTGAATTGGCTATCGCTTATAGTTAACAATCATATATTTTTCAAGAATAAGGATCCTGTGTGATTTCTTATATTATGATAAGATAGATGAAAGAATTACTTCATTATTATTATTCTTTTATTTTATATTCGTTACTTTTTTGTTTTCTTACATTATAAATTATTCGAAACAAAATTCACTTCACTAAAAAAAAAATCTTTCTATTTATCAATAATAAAGAAAAGATAAGATTTTAAGAAGTAGGGAAAAGCCGCTGTGAGAATGATTTCTCGATATCGAAGAATGTTGCAAGAATTTAGAAATCGAGCCGCAGACGTTCAATCTCTTAATAAATAAAATATGTATGTACGTATACTGCATTAATCGTGTGTATACATTAACCGCTTCCTTCAGTATCATAAATATTATAATAACAACGATCATGGTCACGGTCGGAAATAGAAAACATGGGGGAGGGGGGGGGGGGCACAAACGATTCGAGGTGAACACGCAAATACATTGCAGCAGCAAAGAAAATGTGATGATTTATCGACGCAGAAAAATATTTTGACCTTGAAGGCCTGGCGTGTCATCGACGCCACGGCCGTGTCACGATTCTCTTTATTTCGCACAGTGTACGAATTTAGCCGCGTTAAGTGCTACCCCGGTGAATAATTTACGGAGCGAGCTTTGTTGAATCACGCGATTCATTGTCGATTCGAGCGAATCCTACATGATACTCGGAAGACGCGTACGATTATCCGAGGCGACGAGGAATTCATTTCGGGCACGTCGCGAGATCTTCGTGCGGTAGAAATTCCGATGGAAACAATTAACATGATCCTTGTCGTTCTCGGGAAAAAGAAAAAAGCCTCGTTCGAGATTCAGCTGTTTGTCTAGACATTTTAATTATTCTTTATTTATTTTCTATATTCGAATTATATATACATATATATATTATCGAAAAATATCGCTATCTCTCTCTCTTACTTTAAAAGTAATACAACTCAATAAATTTGATTTTCGATTTTTTATTATGAATGATTTAAATAAATATTAACAGTAAAACATCAAAAGTGAACTATACTTTAACTTATTAAAAATTATGAAAATCATCACATCTCAAAAAGAATAATTTGATTCTTCGAAAATGATAAAATGAGAGTAATAAAAATTAATGACATTCAATCATATTAAGAATATATTCTTTTGGCGGAAACTTAGTTGTGTACTGACAAGAGAAATTTCTGGTTGAAAATTGAAAGATTCTCATCATATTAACCAGAATTTTAATTATCTCATCTAGAATTCTGATTGGTATGATGAGAATCTTCTAATTTGTTTATTTTTAAGTAGAAATTTCTCTCAATGCACAACTCAAAAAATCAAATTCCTCCCCCCCACCCCAAAAAAGGAAAGAACTATTTTTCAACTAGACAGAAAATTATTAAAAATGATATAGATATTTATTATAATTATTAAAATAATAGATTTCAACTAAAATTCCGATTTGTCCATTTTCTATCAGAATTTCAATTAATGCTACACACAACCATACTCTTTTTGCAGTATCATTTCTAATGTAGAAAAACAATGTATATATATATATATATATGTGTATGTGTGTATATATGTATATATATATATAAAAAGACTAAAAATTTTCAAGAAATAAATATAAGAACCGAACATGTGTAAAAATATATTATTTGAAATTAAATACAAATGTTTCGACATTTTTCGGTCTTCTTTAATATAATACTATACGACAGATTAGTCAAATAGTAATTTCATAAGACAGATTTTCGATCAAAATCATCTATTTTTATTTAGAAGACACAGAGAGAAAAAATATACTAAATTTTAATATAAGAGTAAATAAATATTTAATATTTATTTGAATATATATATATATATATATATATATAGAGATTAATCAAATTAACATTTACTTATAGCACTTAACAATTTAATAATATTAAATTGAAATTAATAGTTCTCGTGTCAAATAAATATATTTTTATATTTAGTCAGTATTATTCAAACAAAGTATTTATTAAAATTTAGTAATTTTTTCAGTGTAAAAATCTAAGAAATAATTGACTAATCCGAACGAAATCTATTTCATAATATATCTTGCCTCGTCCGAAAACCACGGCAATAGAAGATACTTTAATTCGAAACAAACTTCCTGCGGAAACTCGTTTATCGACGATAGTTGTGTGCTTGATAACAACGCGAACGAATAAAGATCATCGTACCGCGATAAACGTTAAACCAAAAGGAAATTCGCGACATGTAAACATCTCTTATCTTGCAAGACGAACTTTATTTGCGGCTTTTCCAAACGATAAAAAAACTCCGTTTATAGTCATCGTAATTTCGAAAAACAAAAGAGAGAGGGACACAAAAGTAGATATAACAAAATATAAAGGATATTTGAGAAATAAATCTTACTTTAGATATTATTTTTGCAATGAAACAGGTATAAGATTTTCATTTTATTAATACACACCTTTCAGAGATCTTTAAATTACATATCTCTAGATTTATTATGATTTTATACGGAGTTATTTACGATGACAAGATTAAAAGTCGTAAATTTAAGAATTATTAGGATTAATTTATTATATCTCGCAGCAAAAAAAATCTCACGGTACTTTCGGATTCATTTTTACGTCAATAAGATGACGAAAACTTATACATATAGAGAATAGACAAGCTAGCAAAACAACGCGAAAACATCTGATTTTTTTCAGCGAACAAAAAAAATGATCGTTTATTAAGATCCGTGACTCTCCTTTTCTTTCAACGGACAATCGAATTCGGGCAGAACAATCATTAAATATTCTAAAGATGAGACGAGCCGGCGAGGATTGGGAAATCTTTTCTGACGAGAAAATGCAGGCACGAACACATGGTCTTCGCCCGGTCCCGCTGCTTTTGTTTGTGGATTACGACACGCGACCGCCAATTCCGGGCTCCTTCTTCTTCGTCATTTCTTTTGTGCCGTACGATCGTGAAAGAGAAATGGGAAACGTGGATCCGTGGCAAAATAACTGGCACACCATGCTGGCATCAGCACGTATGCAACCGGATATCAAAATATATTATCCGCGTACGTGTCATTCGTCATCGATAATTTATTTTCTCCTGTTATGTCGTATATCCATAGCATAGTGAAACGTGCTGATCGATTGCTACTAACGTACTCCATTCTACGTCAGATTAATTATTTCAGAGGTGTAAAGAGATAACATAATTACCGATTCGCTTAAAGAACGCAAAACAAAAGAAAAGCCATAATAATACGTGTTTGGAAACGTTTGTTAAGAATCTCAATTCCATCACGCATTTTGACTGCTTTCCTGTTGATCCTTGCAGATATATCTCGTCTTTATCTTGTACTATTTTTATTATCTTACAATATGTAGAGAAATTAAGGTTCAAACAAAATTAATCAAAAAATATACAATAACATAATAATATTAGAATATTATAATAATGTTTATAATATAATAACTTCAGAAATTTTGGGACACAAAAAACAAAGTTTACATAAACATTTATTCTATCTGATCTTATTTCCAAGTTGCAGACATTTTAGTATTTCATCAATTCTTATTACAAATAAAATGTAAAACTCACTGGCAGATAAAATGTAAACGTGTCGAACTGTT